GAAAGTCTGCAATCCAATCGAGAACTGTACCTTTAACTTTATAACCTTGTAACTTTTGTATAAGAATCTTTCTATTAAATGTTTCAAATGCCCTTTTAAGATCTAGTATTGCTGTTATAACAAATTTATTGTTATTCAAAGATGTTCTCCATTTAGAAAATAGTAATTGAATAGCTGATTCAGTTGATCTATTTTTTCTGAAACCGAATTGATTATTATAAAAATTACTATTACTTTCAAAATAACTAGACAACTGCTTGTGAACAGCAATTTCTAATATTTTTTCATAAGTAGGAAGCATATTAATTGGTCTTAAGTCTTGTGGTAACTTTGGCGACATTAACTTTGGAATTGGAATGGTTGTTGACTATTTCCATTTAGAAGTAACTTTCCCAGTTTTTAACAATAAATTAATAATTTTTGATAGAATACTTGAAAATGATGAGTATAATTCTTTAAATATAACATTTAAGCTCTCACACATTGAATTCTTGTTTTGTAATTGATTTACTATATTATTTAAGTCTTGCATATTTAAAGGAGTAAATTCACAAAAACAAGGAATATTTTCATTTAGTCATAAATTTTCCATAGCATTATAACTCATATCACTTTGAATTGATGTTTCAATATCTATGATACTTTGGATTAAAAATTCATTATATTTTTCTGGAATGGATTTTTTTGTGTCATTTCTTTGAAAACTTCTAATAAGATTTTCTTCATCAAACTTAATATCATCAATTGTATTTGATTTAACTAATGGTTTGACAGATATTAGATATTTCAACGAATTCCACATAGCTTCAGGATCTTTGATAGAGTATTTACAAGTAATCATTTCATGATCATAAAGTTTTTCTTTTTTATTAGTTTCGATAAGAGTACAATTTTAAATTGTTAAGTCAATACAAGTGCTTGATTTTTCAGATATTTTTGTTGGTGTACTGTTGAAAATGTACATTTGATTATTTTTGATAGATTGCTTTAGTGCTATAGAGTGTTTGTCATTTGAAAGTGTATTTATGTTAAAGTCTGTAGTAATCCAAGTATCGAAAAACTCCCAGAAGATGGCTTTGTTCTCCTGTGGAGATTTATACAAAGCACTAAAATGAAACTTAATTTTGTTAATGACTAGATCAGTAGATAATAATCAATGACACTTGTCCTTAACGAAAGATTTAGGATCAGAATTTTCTTTGATGTCATTTTTATAATATAATATACAACCACCGGTATGAGCAGTTGATGATTCTAAATTTATAAAAGAATAACCAAAAATTTCAAGCTCTTTTTCAAAGATTAAGGACGTTATGTGGGTTTCAGTTAGTCCAAATGTATGAGGTTTAAATTTTTGTACATAAAATGTAACTCTGTCAAGTTTATTTATGAGACCATTTATATTTGTATATGTAATTTTAATGTCTTTTACTACTAGTGATTGCTAATTGTCATACTTTAATTCCACTCTATTTTTAATATCATTATATACTGGACATTTTTTATCGAACGCACAATGTTGAGGATTTATCATTAAATTGAATTTTTTGTTCTTGTTAAGGCAATTAACACACCAATTACTTTCGTGATTTTGACAATGTTTACTGTAATGATCACCTGAACAGTAGCAACATGAAATAGTAGCAAATAATGATCAACACAACATGAAGGAGTATTAAAGTGACAATTTTTTGCTATATGATTGTAACCTTGACAATGGTAACATTGAATGATATTTATATGTTTTCTAATTTGCACAGACTCCAAGCCAATTGCTAATCTAGCATTTTTCTTATTTATAATGTATTTATATGTGTTTATATCTATATCAGCTATAACCAGCTCATATTTATTCTTTGTCATGTTAATTCTTTTCACAACTATAACTTTAGCCTTACTATTCAAATTATTTAGAGCTATTATATCGTTTGCCAATATCTCATTGATTACCTCATCGTGTTTAGTAATCTTAAATTCAATCCTTTACATTTTTTCAGTGTTATCTTTTTCAACTGAGACATTTACACCTAATTTTCCTTTAATTTCCTGATACACCTAATTTTGTTTTAATTTCCTGATAGAGTTTGTCTTTTGATTTTTCGTCATTGTACCGTATGATTACTTCATTATTTTGATTTCGGATATGTTAAATTTTTAAATAATAAACTTCTTTGTGTTAATTTTATCCTGATTGTTAATTTTTTTTGACAACAATTTCACTAAATGTCCTTTCAGATATACTATTTACTTTGCTTGATATTATTGGGATTTGTTTTATTTTTATTTTATCTTGCAACTCTTTTTTTATTAACTCGTTTTCAATTTTTAGTTCTGTGTTTTAGTTCTGTGTTTAGTTCTATGTTTTAGTTCTGTGTTTAGTTCTGTGTTTAGTTCTGTGTTTAGTTCTGTGTTTAGTTCTGTGATTAGTTCTGTGTTTAGTTCTGTGTTTAGTTCTCTGTGTTTAGTTCTGTGATTAGTTCTGTGTTTAGTTCTGTGTTTAGTTCTGTGTTTAGCTTTGTGATTAGTTCTGTGCTTAGTTCTGTGTTTAGTTCTGTGTTTAGCTCTGTGATCTCTTTAATATTTTGTTATCAGTATATAATTCTTTTTAAAAAAAAATGTGATAAAAATTATATATATATATATATATATATATATATATATATATATATATATATATATATATATATATATATATATATATATATCAACCCTTGCAATTAGGGTCGGTAAAGAATTTTTGATAATTAAGAATGTTATGAGAAAATTATTGAGAAGATGTGCCAAAAATATGATATAATTTTTATTTCAGTGAAGAAATGTGTAATAATATTTATGTCATGCATTATTACGGCATAGTTTCATTTTTTTTTTGGAATTAAAAACTGATTTGCAATAGGCTGTTGTTCAGTTAAGTTATGTGAGAAAGTGGTAAGGTTAGCTGTATGAGACATAGAAAGATTGTATCATGTGAAGAAGTGGTTATAAAAAAGTTAAGAGATCCAACGAAGAAGTCGATATAAAAGAACCAAGAAGTTGTTAAGAATTGATAATAAAAATGCTAAAAACCTGTTGTGTTTAAAGTTGTTCAAACAACAACATAATGTAAAGTAATGCAAAGATTCATAGTCACTTCATTACTTTTTTTTTAATTTGAATTCTATAAAACTTTTTTACGTAAATTAACCACCAAACTGTTTATAATAAAGTATAAATAAGTTTTATACAGAATTTATGTTGTTTATTTTGTATTAATGCTAAATTTCGACATGCTTATAAATGTACATACATTATAAATATACAATGAAATAATGCTTAAAACATTTTATTTATGTTAAATGTATCTTTGACAACTTGTTTATCTTTATACATTTTGCTTGCAAAACTATACTTATTACATTATTATTATTATTATTTTTTTTTTAATTGAAAATTCATTTTTTTCCATTGATTTTAAATACAGTGCTTTTGCATCCTTAAAATACTTTGCTAAAATAGAATTTCAAAATAGATGAGCTGCAGCTGATTTGCTAGAAAATGTTAATGGGAAGAAGCAAAAAGTGGATGGCGTGGCGCCAATAAGATGGTAAGACAAGCCAGAGAAAAAATTGTATTGGTCACACAGGCTTGGTCGGGAAGCGGGAGCGATTGCTCTCTAATTCTGACCACGGAAATTATATTTACTTGCGAAAAATTGGCCAGGTTTTTTAGTTGTTTTGAGAACATTTAAGAAACAATAAATTTTGGTTTTACAGACATACATGAAAACATACAAAACAAAACTTGAATGTTTTCAAAACATCTTGTGTGCGGAAGAATAAAAAGAATATTCGCGAACTCTAAAAACCGGCCAAATAACGAACTAACTAATTCAAAAAATACTCTGACTAAGTGAAATAAAGTTCTAGAGTATTCTGTAGAAATTTTTTTAGAAGTTGCATTATTCTCGATTTGTTATGTTATGAGATTTCTAGAATAGATTGTTTTAAGAATATATTATCAATTCTCTGGGTCATTCTCGGAGCCACATCTGCATTATATGGGTCATTCTCGGAGCCACATCTGCATTCTCTGGGTCATTCTCGGAGCCACATCTCCGCACATCTGCAAAGCCGTAAATCTTATTAACTATTATTATTTGTTTACAAAAATAAATGTTTTAAATTTATATTATTTATATTGTCAAAATTTTGAAAGTTTATTATAAATTGTAGATTTTATTAGTATATACTTATTTAAAGAGTATGTATTTTTTAATTATTTAAATGTAATTTTGTGTATCTGTTTTTTATCGATTTAATTTGTAAGCAAAGACTTACAAAAATAATTGCGTTTTCAATGAAGTTATTAATAATCATTAAAGTTAATAAAACTAATTATGTAGCAAACATATAAGAAGTTTCTGGTTACTAAACACAAACTATGCGTACAAAGTAACTCGCGGATGAACAAGCACCGCGCCTGAGGTCACAACAGAACATAAATATATATAGCAAGTTATTAGATGTAAAGAAAAGTTTCTAGGTATTAGTTCACTAAATCTAATTATTTTCGCTTAAGTTGCCTTTCTTAAAAACTCGTTATACTTTTTTATGCTTTAAATACTTATTAAAATTAAAAAGCCTACTCACTAAACATTATCAGCGGTATTATGAACCAGTTTCGCTTCCTCGTCATAAAAGTATTTTTAACTTTTTTAGTTGATTTCTATCTAGTAAATTTAATTTCTATAGTAATTCAATGATTTAATTATTTCATTTGTTTATCTTACTAAGAAGAATTGTTTCATATATGTTAAACTTTTCAAACTACGCGAAACATAAAATAGGTATTAAACAAATTAACTTTTTTATTTATAAAATAATTTAGCTTAGATAAAACTAAAACTTGCAAAGTTTGATAAATAAAGAACATTTTTAAACAAATGAAAATTTATTTTGTTTTAAATTTTTTTGCGTTAAAAGACATTTTATTTTTATTTTTAACTGTTTTGTGTTGTTAACAAAGCAAGTAAAAAATGCACATAATGATAACAGATTTATCTTTAGAATTGTCTGCAAAACCTTTAGTTTGGATACCAAGTGAAAATGATGCTGGAAAGGTACACTTTCTTATAGCTAAACATCATTGCAGCTTTTTAGTCTATATTTTTGTTTATGCGTATTTTATCTGTTGCTAATGATATTGCGTGTTTTTGTAAATTTATGTTGTTAAGTAAAGCATCATTATGTTTCAGGCTAAAATAGAGCTTTTAATAATACATTTATCCAGTTTAAATGAACAACAACTCTTAAGGTGTTGTTATTCATTTAAACGAAATCAAAACGGAAAGATAATTAGCTGAATTATCTTTTCGTTTTTGATAGTCTTTAGTCAATAACGGATTTTTAAATTGTTATGGATCTACAACACTTAATTTCAGCAAGATTAAGTGTTGTAAAAATTAAATTAAAAAGTCACGTCATAGAAGACAGATATCAATATCTGTTTTCAATAACTTGGCTATCATGGCAAATCTGAGAGGTGGAAATATTTAGCTTGGTTTATATGATACATAATTAAATACATCGTTGTACAGTCATTTTGACGGTCTTAAATTTATTTAACATACTCATTTTTATATATTTTTAGACTGTTTACCGTTTGACTCCTGTCCCAATTTAACCTAGTGGGGATTCCTTTTTGAATTAGTTTGTAAGTCTTGTGTTTCACTCAGCTAATCAAATTTTATTTGCTTTTTTGTATTACATTAAAACAAGAGACTGTTTTTTATGTTCACTCATTTTTTAGAAGTCGTAGCCAACTCGTATGAAAGATGTTCTCGACATGAAATAGTTAATTTTATTCAACAACGCCAAAAAAGCTCGCTTAAGAAACAGAGGAGAAAGAGAAAGATGAAAGAATATTCTTTTGAACAATGGTGCTGTTTTATTTATAAATTATTTTCCTATGTTTAAACATATAAAAGATATAGAAAATGCTTCCTTTTTTATATTTACATCACGGCGACCTATACTGCAGGCCTTGCCAACGTGCAAACTACGTATCTGACTGGGAGCCTATTTAAAATGTCGCTTAACTTTAGTCGCCATTTTTAGTGATATTAAAATATGGGTAAAAAATGTTTGCATTTATGGCTGCGCTACAAATTATTTATCTGCAAAAAAAGAAATTTGGTAATTTAAAGCTTTCAGTATATCGATTTCCTAAAAATGAAGAAGAAAAACAAATGTGGATTAAAGTAATTCCAAATATTAACTTAAAAGTAACTAATGACACTGTAGTTTGTGAGTTGCATTGGTCGATAAATTTTGAAAAACAAATAGTTAGAGGAAAATATCGTCCTAAATTTCCACCATTTGTTTGGCCTAGTATACCGTCTTGTCAAATTCCTACCCATCTTCCTCCATTACGTGCAACAATTCGTGCTTCTTTGTGTTTTCGAAATTTCGCTGAAGATAAACTATCCACTTTTTTAGAAAAAGATAGAGTAACTTTTGCTGAAATAAAAAAAATTCTTTTAAATAATGAAAGAGATTTAGGTGTTCCAATAGTATGCTTTATGGTTAATAACACTATTCATTAACAACACAAGTTTATTCAAATGGAGTTCCTTATTTTTTAATCAAGATTAGTGAGGATTTACATTTTGAAATTTATAAATATGGCGTCAAAAATAAAGTTCCTACAATATCTAAAAGCAGAATTTCAAAAACATGTTCTATATTTGGAGAAGTTTTGCGTTATTTAAAGAATTTAATTCCAGGCAGAAAAGAAATTGTAATTTAGGAACATTTAGCCTCTATGGGTACACAGTGTGTTGGTAGTAAGATTTATTCTAAGGAGGTTATTATTAGATCTTTTCAGTATTTTGCGACATCTAGAAGTTTTTATAATCGATTGCGAACAGATTGCCAATCGCCTTCTGTAAAAACTTTGACAAGAATAACAAAAGTTTCTAAATTAAATGAGAAATTTATTTTGACTAATATTTTTCAATCTGTTGAAGAAAAACAGAAACTTTTTTATTGCATGATGAGGTTTATGTTAAAAAAATGTTGTTATACCATGGTGGTACATTATTCCGAAAAGCAATCGACGATTCAACTTCTCTTGCAAAAACTATAATGGGTTTAATGGTTAATTGCTTATTTGGTGGACCATATCGTTTCCAAAATGATACCTATAAGTAAATTAAACTCTCAATTTCTTTTTGAACAAATTAATATTACTATTCAAATAATAAAGAAGTCTTCGGGTCAAGTTAAAACTATTATATGCGACGGAAATAGAATTAATCAGGCATTTTTTAAAATCTTTGAAAGATCAGCTCCAGATAAACCCTGGTTGACTAATGACGGTATTTTCTTAATCTTTGATTAAGTCCATTTGCTTAAAAACATTAGAAATAATTTGCTTACTGAAAAAACTGGTCAACTTATTTTTTATGATAAAGGAGTATCTAATATAGCTCAATAGGATCATCTTAAAAAACTTTATGAACTTGAATTAAAAAGTTTAGTTAAACTAACCTACTTAAATGAAGTTTCAATATTTCCAAAGCCGATTGAGAAGTTTTCAGTTTCTACCTGTTTTTTTTTTTAATTTTTGCTGTTTATAAAAAAGGCCCCCAGTCAGATACGCCGTTTGCGCGTTGCCAAGGCCTGTAGTATAGATCGCCGTGATTGTCATCTAGAAGAGGTTTTTTTCTCGGTATCGGAAAGAGCTTTTTTTCATACTTTGTATGAAGAGCTATTATCATTTTCATTTAATGAAAACAGCTTTTCATATATGAAAAGCAGGAATACTATAGTGTATAGGATACTATAATATACTAATGAGTATGACAAAAAAGTCTATCCGACGCCAAGAAAAAAACTTTTTTAGATGTGCATAATCAATTAACAACGATGTCTTAAAGACGCATTTTTTATGTTTTTTTCATCACAACTTTAAGATAAAAAGAGACGTCTTTTCGATGAGAAAAAAAGATTTCTTTTAGCTTCGCATAATTGACTATAAAAAGACGTTATAAAGACGCATTTTTTTTTGTCTTTTTATTGCATGATTAAGATTAAAATAAGACGTCTTTTCGATGTCAAAAAAAGATGTTTTTTAGATTTGTATAATCGACTAAAAAAAGGCGTTTTAAAGACATCGTAAATATGGCTTTTAAAGACGTCTTTTTTTCCACTGGAAAATTAATGCGACTTAAAAAATATTACGAGTTTTATTTTGATGACGTGCTCAGGTTCGTGTCTGAGCATTAAATGTACATTTAATAGACTCCAATTGCTACACTTGTAAAATGATACTTTCTAACTGTGTTTAAAAAGATTTTTAAAACTATTTTATCAGTAAAGCCACTTCGGTTAGTTTAAACAACATCGTTAGAAAAATACGTTAAAAAAATGCTTTCTTTTATTTTGGCATCAACGCAGACGTCGAACCTCGGATCTCTAGGTTCTCTAACCACTGCTCCAACTAAGCTAAGCTTATTCCAGTTTTTCCTAAGGAAAGTAAAGCGCTAAACTAATTAAAGTTCTCATTGTTTTCTCCTTCGGAAAAATCGGGACAATGACAACCATGGACTAAGCATAATTTGGCAACTAACTATCAGTTTACAAGGTTTTGTGTACCGCATATGCTGTGATTCGCCTGTATTCTTTAAAAACAAAGTCTGCATTAGGTGATGTACAGCATAAACATGTGACATATTTTTGAATAATTTATATATCGGAGGGCTTGCCATACGCAGTGTTATTCAATGCGCTCGTCCTTTGGTTTAAAGTTACGTAACTGTTAGCTAATCGAGTTTATATTAATAAACTTATAAAAGTTAATTAGGGTTAGCTAGGAAACGTTCATATGCTGATAGAATTTAAAAAAATCCCGTAGACCCGGAGTCCCAACAATTTTTATGACGGGAGGGACTCTTAGTATATATATATATATATATATATATATATATATATATATATATATATATATATATATATATATATATATATATATATATATATATATATATATATATATATATATATATATATATATACATATATATATATATATATATATATATATATATATATGTATATATATGTATGTACATATATATATATATACATATATACATACATACATACATACATACATACATACATACATACATACATACATACATACATACATACATACATACATACATACATACATACATACATGCATACATACATACATACATACATACATACATACATAAATAGTTATTTTTCTTTAAAAGCATTTATTTAAACACTATTATTATTATTTTTAAGCATCTATTTAAAATAAATCATAATAGAAAATGTTTTTTAGTATTTGTTTAAGCCGCCTTTTGCATCAATTACTGCTTTTATCCTTTTTGGCATACTTTGGATGCAATTCTTTACATTTGCTTTTAATTCCTGATCATATTGCCAAGCATTATTTAGTGCCTCTATGAGATTTTTTTTGTTAGTTATAGTTTCGTGCCCAACTATCCGCTTTAAAAGTTCCCAGGCGTTATCTATTAGGTTTAAGTTATAATAATTGCCAGGCCATGGTAAAACAGTAACATTTTTCAACTTATATCTTGTCACTGATTTAGCTTTATGGCATGTGACAGAATCATGCATAAAGATGCATTTGGATGGATCAGGAAACCAATCATGTAACTGAGGAACTATATAAACAAATGTGTCAGGAGCTAAACACCTTCTACAAGAATTTTATTAGGTAAGTATAACTCCAACGCTGTACAAAATTCTTGCTTAAAACTACGAGTTGATAGAAATAAATAATTCCACCAGTTTGAAATCTTGAAGTGAAGAAGGAATGGAAGCTAATAATAAGCGTCTCAGATTATTAAGAAAAAAACTATCAGGAAAAATTACTTAATTGGTCCATATAGAAGATTGCTTAAAAAGACTTTAGCAATGATAATTGATTAATGACCCATTAGTTTTAAAAAAGCGGAGCAAAGGACGTTTATTTTGCGAAAACTGTTTAGGTATAGGGCATTCTAAACATTTAAACATTTATGCATGCACATAAGTGGATCAACTGATGATATTTTAAACAACCTTTTTGTTTGAAATAAATTATTTTTGTAACACATGTGTATTTGCTAATTTTTCAAAACTAAATTCTTAGACTTTGACCTCAAGATGGCAACTTTGAAAGCTCATTTAAGCTCATAGAAGATTGCTTAAAAAGACTTTAGCAATGATAATTGATTAATGACTCATTAGTTTTAAAAAAGCGGAGCAAAGGACGTTTATTTTGCGAAAACTGTTTAGGTATAGGGCATTCTAAACATTTATGCCAGCTAATACCAGCTAATCTGCATGCCTTTTAAGTATACAAAAATAAAGTTAAATTTTAATTTCAAAGCATTAAATATTTTACTTATGCCCACCATTTAAACCACTGTGATCCTGGTTCATCATCCCTTAAAGTTTTCGGGATGATGAAAAATCTAAAATAATATAGTATTTCTATTCAAGAATAGTACGAAAAACATCCTAAAGACTAAGACGATAATTTTTACCACTGGTATATTTGTTATGAAATAGTTTTTATAGCGTTAAATTAATTAATGATGTTTAAGTTACTTCATCTGAATAAATTCGAATGTTATAATTATTTTCGACGCGCTTTTTGAATGTTTCCATTTTTGTAGAGTCATTTGTTTAGCATGACTTAACTTTTAAGTATTAGGATCTTATTTGCACTGTTAAGTTGCTACAGTGTTTTAGGACATTGAAAAAATATTTTTTTGATATGACTAAAGTTACAAGATCTGGTGAGCATTTTAAAAGGAGGCTTTAGAATTTTACAGCTTGGAAAATAACTAAAAGGCCCACAACTACACTATTTTGTATAATATGTGGTTGGGTGGCTTGGGACCCACAAATAATGTAGCAAAGGCCCACAATTAGGCCGCGGCTTACAATTTGCCGACCCCTGCCTTAAACTATATAAAGAAGGCCACTGCCCTTACCATATTACCATAAGGTCATTTTGCCCTTACCATATAATTGCCCGTTCATCTCTTGAGGTAGTGATGCGTGGTCACATTTTTCACTTCTGGTACTTTGTAAAGCTTTTTTTTTATCAAGTTTATCTTTAATTCTGCTTACTGTCATCACAGAAACCTCAACTAAATTTGCAAATTTTTTTTTGGGAGTGATTTGAATGTGATTTGTTAAACAAAGCAGACACTTCTGAAATTTTTTCGTTTGATTTTTCCCATTTTTAGACACCAAAGTTCAAATATTTTTAGTCAAAATTACTAATTTATGTAAAAAAATGAGTCAGAATCATAAAGACACTTAATAGTTGACAAAAATTTTATTTATCATTTAAATAATAATTTTGCTAAGAATATGTAAAAAGCCGCATTTCGCATCTTTTGCATTTTACTATTTCTATTTCTATTCTTTTCTATTGCATATTCTATCAATTTTAAAAATTGCCACAATTATTTATAAATGTTACTACTTCATATATATATATATATATATATATATATATATATATATATATTTGGAGTTATACTTACCTAATAAAATTTTTGTGTGTGTGTTGGTGTGTGTGTGCAAATAAAAGCACAACATCACATTTCATTTTGTTCATTACGAATGTTATTCCTCTCGACATAAAATTTATTGTTTTTACGGTTCTAACTATGCGCAAGAAACGCAAAAACGCAGTTTAAAATGATAAATAAAATAGTATTATTATAGGCAAAACATGATTATAGACAAAACATGATTGTAGACAAAACATGATTATAGACATAACATATTTATAAACAAAACATGATTATAGACAAAACATGATTATAAACAAAACATAATTATTAGCAAAACACGATTATAGACCAATAATTATAGACCCCCCCCCCCCAGGACATATATATATATGTATATATATATATATATATATATATATATATATATATATATATATATATATATATATATATATATATTTACAAATATATTTATTACAAATATATATATTTACAAATATATATATATATATATATATATATATATATATATATATATATATATATATATATATATATATATATATATATATATATATATATATATATATATATATATATACACACATATTTATACAACACACAACACCATTTTTTATATCGTTTCAATGTGCTAAAAAAATACCTTGCCAACATGCCAATTCTTTTGCCATAAACGCTAAACAAATATTCTGAAATTCCAGAATAACTGATACGCTTAATTCCAAGACTAAAGAAATTATGTTTGAAGAAAATAATTTTCAAAATAATTCAAAAATATTACAAGAAACTAAGTTAAAAGTCTAATATAAAAAAAGCAAAAAAAGAATTTAATAGAGAGTAAAAAAAAAGAAAATATAAAAAATTAAAAAATACCTTTCTCGTATATTTTGGGCTGTATCAACCAGCAATTTAATGTTGTACATGCATACTGATCCAAGTAAAAGAAGGATTGCCGGTCCAAGCTTCCAGTTATCATAAAAAATGTTATTTAGTTGGTTAGTTTAAAAAAATATAAATAAAAAGAGTATGTAATTCTAAAACTAAATAATCTAAAACTTACCATTAGGCCCCCGTGCATGACAGCAGATGGCAAACCTAAAATACCTGTTCCAATAAATACTTTTAACAAATGTGTTAACACTTGCCAATCTCTAAAAAATACAAAACAACATTGAAATTCATATGAAAAACTTTAACATTATAATTATTAACGAGCGTTGTTGTCATCGTTGTCATTATTATCATGATCATGATCACAATCATGGTCATCATCATCATTATCACCATCATCAACAACAAAAACAAAGTTATCAAAAATAACAACAACAACATACTCTAAATGTCCTTCTTTAGGAAAAAACTTTTCTTCTAATATATTGTCAAGCTCATCTTCAGATTGGAACGTTTCATGCGGCTCTTCGCAAAGGAATGTTTTGAGCAATATAGGTTGATCGACCAACATTGGTTGATCAACATTTTTCTCCATTCACACTTTCAACTTAACTACAAATGTCTAATTTTAGACAATCTTATTTTAAAACTGCTTAAAATACTGTAAATGAATGTAATGTAAATACTAAAACATCTTCTTTTAGGTTCTAAAACAAACAACTTTGCTCTTTTAATAAAAAGTGATTAAGAAGATAATATTAGAGAAGATAGGATCAGAGAATAATCAAAGAGCAATAGATCATAGAAGAATCACTGAAAAATTAAAGAAAATAGAATTAGTGAATAATCAGAGAGTAATAAATGAGTTTATTTTTTATTTTTTAATATTCAAATAAGTTTATATAAAAAAAGCTATAAAACAGTTATTAATTATTTTTAATAATATCTACTTGTGGTTAAAAATATATATACGTATCTTGTTGATTGTTGGTAACAACTTTTCAAATACTTTATAACAAAATTCCATAATAAAAAATTTGTTGTTGAAAGGATTTTTTTTATAAATACAACTGCGTTAAAAATTGTTTATAAAATCTATATAAATAAACCAAATTTTCATTTGTTTTTCTATTGTTCAAATGAAAAAAAGAAACGAAAAACTTTCAAACAAAAACTCTTCAAATATAACTTAAGTTTAAATGCGCACAAAAAAATATTTTTTTGATTTTGATTTATACGTTCTAGACGTTGTTTTTTTTTTTTTTTTTTTTTTTTAAAAAAAAAAAACGTTGTTAAGTAATCTACTTCAAAACACAATAAGATATTGTGTTTAGATCAATACAATAAGATATCGTGAATTAGATTAACAAAATAAAATATTGTTTAAAAAAAAATTCAAACAACTTTAATGAACACTTATTAGGTTACTTATCGATGATGCTTATTTGGTATTACTTATCAATCATGTTTATTTGGTATTAGTGTTAATCTAAGACAAAATGTTTCGGTTTTATTGGAATGCAGTTTGACCACAAAACTTTTTCTGAGAAGTTTAAATTTAAAAGCTTTATTTATACTAATCTTTTTAATTATATTTTAGGTGTTCCAAGAAGTTCTTACGGTCTTCTCACATGAAACCGCGGAAGAACATTTGTTCATTCCTCCTTTATTTACTGATTTTATAAAACTTACCTAGAGATTGCGTTGAACCACGGGTCTCTAGCTTAGGCAAACGCGCTAACCACTCCGCAACTGCTATTTTATTAATGCTAAAAAGGATAAATAAACTAGCGCCTACATACGAAAATTTACATAGATCAAAAATTTCTTAGCCGCAAATTTATTAAGAAACGTGATTGTTGAAAAATAAAGTACATTTATATCGCTCTTCTATCATTGGTTTTTATAAAGTAGGTGTTAACAAGACAAATTATTATCAACAAGGCATTATATTATTGTCAACATGACAATTTGATGTAATAATGCTAATCGTACATTTAATGTATAAAATAATGTACATAGTTATAAAAATTTAATAGATTTGTCCCACTAGGTACAAATTCTTTAGGCCTAAATAAATCTAAAATTTAAGGTAATATAAAGTATTGTAATATATAAAACTTTGACATCCTATAAAAATAATATGATAAAAATATCTGTAGGCCATATGTTTCGAAAGTTTATGGAAATTCTATTTTTACAATAAAACATGTAATGATTGTTATGCAAACAATTCCCTCTGTATAATAATTTCTAACAATCGTTCAGAATAACGATTAGCGATTGCGGAATAAGTAATACTCTTTGGCGAATTACATGGAAAATGATTGCCTAAAAGACTAATTCCGCATGAAGAATTCTCACTTTAAAAGCCGTAGCGCTAAACTCAATAGAGGTTGAAATAAAGTCAAAAGAAGACTACAAACAATTAATATAATATTTAGTTGTAACAATTTGATATGTAGATATAGAAATAAATGTCAAACAAATATTAAAAGTAATTTTCTTTCCTATAAATAAGAATTATTATAGAATTATTATTAATATTTATTATTGATGAAAAAGGAAAAGAAATATTTAAGACGTGGACTTGGAATAAAATAGAAAATGACGATGGTGAAATTGATGACATCACGGTAAGAGAACTGTTTGAAAGATTTGAAGAACACAGTTTACCGAAAAGAAATTTGGTTTTGGAAAGAAGAAAGTTTTTCTTACAAAAACAAGATGTTAATGAATCATTTGATCTTTTTGTGACTGATTAAAAAATATCTCTCAAACATGTGAATTTAAAAATATTTAAGATCAAATTAGACAAAGTCCGAAACAATCTTGGGTAGAGCGGGGCATACAGGGACACTTAAGAAACAAATGCGAGTTGCAGATAAACTAATCATAGTTAACACTGTTTTTTATAAATTTCCTAAAATTCATTGATATATATAAAATAAAAAAATAAAATAAAAATTTCTAAAAATAAGTTACGACTACCAAAGTAACAAAACTTAAGACTAGCAAAACCTTTACATTTTGCAAGTAGGTGGGGCAAAACGAGACAGTTAAAAAGCAGCAGTAATTCGTCAATTGTAAAGCTTTAAAAATAATCAAAAATCTATCGTCTAAATATGTTCAGACATTAAAACTTCAAAAAAGTAACATACCCATAGAAACTGCACGCCCTTACACCCATACACCAAAAAAAAAGAAACAACAGCTAAAATAACTTTTTTGTGTGTGTTTTTATTATAAAATACCTCCGCTCCTAATATATTATTAAATTGGTAACTTGTACTAAATTTCGAAATTAAACAATAAATTTATGGACCACTTAATTCGCACAAAAAATATCCTAAAACTATTTGGCAATGTTTTTGATGAGCTAACAATATGCCAATTAGAGCAAACTTAAATATGCTATATGTATCAGCAGCATTTCTAGTTCTAAGTTCCTTTTTACTCACAGCTAAAACTGCATTTCATCCCATTTTGGATGATTGATCTTTCTCATATAAATTCTAACTATCTTCTTTTAGATTAAACACTATTAATAATCGAAGTTAAGTTATAATTTAATACTAAAATTAATTTATTATTAAAATTAATTTTCTAAATAAGAAAAATTATATTTTAAATTAAAAAAAAATCATCATACCGTAAACAGCATCACGAAATGGTAGTAATATAATCAATTATATAAAAAACTTGTTGTCCGGTTATGCCCCACAAAAGTCATTTTAGTGAAATTAATACTATTCAAAAACTTCAATTGCAAATATTTTTAATAAACCAGATTCTAAAACAGGATAAAAAATACTGTCTGAAAAAAATGAACTGTTTATGAATAAAGCAAATAATTGAATAATAAATAATTGAAGATAAATCTTTTGTTATTGTACCACTTATGAAAATCTTTCATAAGTGATACAATTTTTATTGAAAACACGAAAATTTTAATTTTTTTCTAAAATTTACTGATGCATTTTGGTACTTTTAATGCATTTTGGTAATTCTAAAACTAATTTTTTACAACAACAAAGCACAATAATCTAAAATATTTTGTCGAAAAAAGCGTTGAAAATTTTTTTTTAGCTGAGATACAAGGCTTCAGGCATAACTGTCTCGTTATGTCCCACAGTCCGGATATGCCCTGCTCTACCCTACTTCGTATAGGAGCGAATTTAGCTTTACCAAAAGCGATAAGCGTATGCAGATATGAAGAAGTTACAATTGTACAATTATACACGAAAAAGATATTGATGTGGTAAAAAAATTCATAAATCCAAGACAAGCAAATGCGATAATCGGACAAAAACCGAAATGGAGAAAATTCGCGAATAACAAAAATGTATCAAAAACCAAAACAAACTCGATCAAACAAACAAAACTGGAAGCAAATGAATAATGGTTCAAATACAAAACAACAACAAAGGCAGTGCGAAAAAAATGAAATAGAACTCATAAACCAAAAAACTGTCCGGTATTTGGTCAAACGTGCCACAAATGTAACAAAATAAAAACCATTGGGGGACTTGTTGCAAGTCAAAAAACATCTACAAAAACTGCGCTGTTGAATACCATGTTTAATCTGTATCGTCTGGTAAAATGAATTGTAAAAAAAGAAGCTTTGATAATTTTTAAAATTAATAATAAATTGGTACGTGGAAAAATCGACAGTGGAGCTGAAGTTGATGTTATGCCAAAAAGAGTCTACTACCAACTAATATAACGTGATAATCTCACTTATACAGATTTTAAACTACGTGGTTATGGAGAGAATTCCAGTAATTGGAACATCAAAGATAATGAGTTACTACAAAAGTTGTAAAAAGTTGGTTAAATTTTATGTAATGAAAACAACAAACAAACTCGTTCTTAGCTTACAAGCTCTTCAAAACTTGCAAGCTATCAAGCTATCAAATGAAGTAAAAAGTGTAAGCACGAACAAACCTACAGCAAAACACGGACAAACCTACAGCAAAACACGGATTGTCCCAACAGCAAAACACGGACTGAAGGAAAACAAGGAAAAGAATTAAAAGAGGAAATACTAAAAATGTATCCAAATTTGTTTAATGGAGTAGGTGTGGGTTAGGGTAATGGAATAGGTGATCGGACCTGAACATCATATCGAGTTAAGAATGACCCAAATCTTGTTATTCATTCCCCCAAGGAAAATTAAAAATGAATTGGATGAAATGAAAAAAACTGGAGTAATAAAAAAAGTAGATAAACCAACAGAATGGGTAAACTCACTAGTAGTCGCGGAAAAAACTAAACGAACAACTGAAACTCTGTATAGACCCAAGAGACTTAAATAAAGCTATAAAAGGAGAACATTATAATTGATAATGTTCTTTGGAAGAAATATCAACTAGACTTTGTGGTGCAAATAATTCTCATCGAAGGAATAATTTTAAAAAACAAAGAGTTTTAATTCCAACATCAATGCAAAAAGCAACAAATCAAAAATTACATCTAGGACACGTAGAGATTGAAAAGGCTAAAATGGGAGCAAGAGAAACTGTATTCTGGCCTGGAATTAACAAGCAAATTGAAGATTTTGACAACTCAGGTGAAACATATCTAAAATACTCAAAAAACAAACAAAGGAATTAACGATATCAAGTTAAATAACAAATCATCCATTTAAAATTGTTTGAACTGATTTATTTCACTGGAATAATCAGGATTTTATAATAGTGGTCAA